AGAAATGGTATTATTCTGTTTCATGGAGGCAAAGAAAAGTCTGATAAACATAAATTTCACAGAACGTTTATTTAAGGTAGGGTGGAGCAGAAGGAATTGGTCACAATTTTTTAAGGGAAAAACAAATCTTTATAAAATTTTGTGAAGAACAGCTTGGCTAAGTAACATATATGAGCGATGTGGTCCATAGTATTTTAGGTTCCTTTTTTGTTTACTTATATATCGAGTTAAAATCGGTGTATTGACCTGCGCAAATTATTATTTTTATATGCTCTCTGTAATCGTTGAATACTGTAAAATCACAATTTTTTGTGGGGGTTTAATTGTCGTTGTTTTCAAAATATGAAGAGACCCAATAATTCGTCTCCACCATGCTGTGTAAATGTCACATATATACAGTAACTTCTGAACAATTCTTTATCCACCAAATCAAAACCCCACGAAACAAGAGTTTTTCTTCAAACCCCGAAAATATGACCCCACGAAAATATGTCTTTCAGTATGAACTTTTCTCACTGACTTCGCCATAAACGGTAAACAAGTGTGAAAAAGAATGCATAGAAACGAAATGAATTGAATAGATATGTTTAAGTACACTGTACATATACGAAGAATAAGATATGTTGTTTTTTCTGTTGGTCGAAATACGACACATCAACAAATCGTCTGGCTTTCAGATATTGTATAAAATGGTTTATAATATATAGGAAAAATCTTTAAAAATCTTCTTTTCAAGAACCACTGGGTCAGGAAAGATGAAACTCATGTAGAATTATCCTCAGGTAGTTTAGAAAAAAGTTTGTCCAAATCATGACCTCGAGGGTATTGTGGGGCCACAATGGCCGATCAAAGTTTTACATAGGAATATATAGGAAAAATCTTTAAAAATATTCATTTTAAGAACCACTGGGCCAGGAAAGGTGAAACTCATTTGGAATCATCCTCATATAGTGTAGACCAAGACCGGGGGCAGGATGAGGCCACAATGGCTGATCAAAGATTAACATTATACATTTATTGACTGAGTTCGAGGGCAACATGCGTTTTGTTGGACCCAAGAACCAAACTGTCTGCCTGAGGCCGCTAGGCCGAAGGCAGACAGTTTGGTTCGAGGGTCCGACAAAACGCATTTTGCCCGAGAACTCTGTCAATAAATGTTTTGTTATACCTTTCATTTTATTTTATTTTATTTTTTTGACATACATGTATTTTGTACTATATTCCTTAATGTAATATAAAGCCTGTAACTTTTTAACATTAACGAATGAAAATGAGATTAAGCTCCGCCCATTCTGTGACGTAAGCGGTCCAACATCTCTCCGAGCGGTCCAACATCTCACTCAGCGGTCCAACATCGATTTTTTTATGCCCGCTCAACAAAACATTAAAAATGTTAGACTTTTTTTCGCATACAATTGTATAGGAACATATTTTTAAAGGTATAACAAAGGAATATATAGGAAAATTCTTTAAAATATTCTTCTCAGGAACCATTGAGACCGGAAATATGAATCTCTAGTAAAATCAACCTCAGGAAATGCAGAATCGTGATTGTTCAAATCATGACCCCCGGGGGTAGGGTGAGGTCAAAATGGCCGATCAAAGTTTTACATAGGAATATATAGGGAAATCTTCTCAAGTACTTCAATACCATGATTAGTGATATTTATATGGAATCATTCTCCTTAGTGTAGATTCTATTTTGATCAAATCATAACCCCTAGGGATAGGGTGGAGCCACAATGGGGGATCAAAGTATTACATACAAAAATAAAGGAAAAAAATCCCAAGAACAGAAAAGCTATGTTTCGTCATATTGACATGTAAGCATCCTCATGTATTGAAGATTAAAATTTGTTCAAATCATGGCCCATTGGGGTAAGGAGGGAAACGATGAGGAATCAAATTCAATTTATTACGAAGTAATACATAAGAATTAAATGTTTAAAAAAAATCTTTTTTATCAAGAAAAGCAAAGTCATATGTTGTATTGATATGAAGGCATTGTCAAGTAGTATTAAAGTTCAAGCCCACCCACCCCCCTCCCCCAGTAAACGTTTCAGTTCTGATCTGATTTGTGCTTTTTTCTAGCCGATTTGCTCAGGTACGCGATGTGGCCCCTGGACCTCTTGTTTTTAAGTGGTTTTTCGCGAATTTGATTACGAAAATACCACATATTCGCACATATCTTGCGCCACATTTAAATTTAAATGATGAAGAACCCTGATTAAAACAAAGAGAAAAGCTATAAAAAATCACAAAATACTGTGGAATTTTAATTTGCTATAAAATATATATGTTTTGCAATGCTGCGTCAATGTATGTTCATGTAAAATTAAAATTATCTCATTTTTTATTGTCATATTCTAATTTTGTTCTTCAGTACTTATGAGGGGATGGTGACCCTTAGGGCTTGTAAAGTGTTATTCTATTTTCCGAATTTTCATACATGTAGCATAAGGACAATGAAAACAATTTCAAGCGTTTGGACTTGAAACAATTGTTTTTTTTTCCTGGTTAGAGAAGTGCAAGGAAATATTGCTATGTAAATTTTTCAATGCAAGTAGTAAGAGGTTTGCCATTTCTATTCTATGAACGAAACAAAAATATAGGAGTTTTAATGTTGTTATAAATATTCACTAGAAACATATATGATAGGGTGATTAAGACTAAAATCTCAGGAAAAGGCTCTCGGAAAGTGCTCATTCCGTAGAATCCTGGACCAATTAAATCGAAAATCAATTGTTTGGACTGAATTATAGTCTCTTACAAAAGAAAATCTCTTTACTCAAAGCTCATAACCTATACTTTTATTTTTTGACGATTTTTGTGCAACAGTGAAGTTTAATGAATTGTATTTTGATTACCATGCATGGTCTTTTTCTAACATTATCTTTAACATTATCTTAGATACATAATTAATTTTAAGCAATATTCTAGGGAAAAGGATCTCGAAAAATGCTCATTCTTTTGAATACTTGACCAATTAAACTTAATAAATTAAAAACAACCAACGGAGGAAAGTTTGTTAAAAATTAATTGCTTGCATTGAATTATGGCCTCTTACAAAAGAAAATTCGTTTACTCAAAGCTCAAAACCTAAACTTTTATTTCTTGACGATTTTCTATTATGAAGTTTAATGAACTGTATTTGATTATCATGTATAGCAGACCATAGCATCGTTTTTAAAAGTGGGGAGGGGGGCAAGTGGGGGGGGGGTAGTGGTCAACTTTTTTTAAGGCCAACTACGCTTCACTTCCAATTTTTTCCTATATTTCCTTGCTATTAATGTACTGTGGTAAAAAGTTGGGGGGGGGGGGCAACCATCTTCTCAATGGACATTTTCTATAGTAAAGGTAATGTTGGAGAAAAAAGGGGGCAGGCCCCCAGGTCCTCCCTGTTGCTACGTGCCTGTATAGTCTTGTTCTAACATTATCTTAGATACATCAATGAAAGCAAAATTGCATGTTCTCAGCATTTTATACGTTGTGGTATAAAAGTAACTAATATTTTAAGGTCATATATTTAAGTCAATTAAGACCTTTTTTTCCAAATGTGTTTCTAAAGTGATTTATGTGTCGTATGCAGAGTCTGGCATCTGGCTATCTTTCTGCTATCTTTTACATCTTATTCTCGAGAACTTACAAGAGATAGAAATAAATATTTTTTTCATGCACTTCTTTGAAAAATTACTTTTGTCAAATGCAAGAGTAACCGACATCCATGCATTTGAAATTGTTGACTTTTCTTACAAAATATGCATACTTTCGATATACATAAATTCTTTGACCTTTTAAAGTTCGACATCCATGCATTTTAAATTGCTGATTACTTTAAAAAATACACTATACTTTCGATATAATTATACAAATTCCGTGTGTGCTATATACAACCCCTAATTATAAAACTTCGCTTAATGATCAAACTATTTTTTGAATAATTATTTAGCGTTAAGTTTGCTTAGAGCTGGCAACGCTTTATGATCTATTTTGCAAGAGCACTGCTGGTCACGGAAATTATCTCGGCGTCCTCTATCATTCGAGATAACAGCACCGGTTTTCTCAACTTTACAGTCATACCCTAATCACATTTACAAGAGCAACCGACTGCTTTAAGGCAGAAATGAAATATTTCGGGCGACAGTCGACTGTCCAAAACCCATTGTCTTCCCTGATCATGACCCCTCATATTGTGTGTAGCTGGCCAAAAAAAAAATCTGCATCGGTGGCCGTTTGACGTTGAAGACAGTTGGTCAATTGGGCGACAGATATGCCTAGATAATATTTAAGCCGATGGTCGGTCGACTATTTTTTTCTATCTTTGACTGTGAAAACATCATCGGCAGACACATGTATCGGAGGAAGTATGGTATTTACAATATATCCTAGAAATTCTATTGCCCCTAAATGTTAAGATAATCAAGAAATTTTGAAAATGTGACTGGAATTTTACTGTAGTGGGTTTATGCCTAGGTCACATTTAAGTCTATTGTCGGTCCTCGTATCGTCGGCTGAAATAAAACATGATCAGCCAACAGCAGTATCGGGCAACCTGAAGCAGTCACATTAATTACTAAGAACATCAATAATTTTCAAAACTTAAATAATCCCAAGTCGGCCAATGGTCGCCAGACCATCGTTTGTAAGGTCACAGCTTGATTTTCACCTTCGGTCAACATTTACAAAAACAAATTTCCTAAATTTCGACCAAACGACGACCGACTTAACGAACTGTCTGTCGATGGGCTAACGATGATCGATTGTCGGAAATACTATACGACTTCTTCTATTGAAGAATTGAACACCGAATCAGAAAAAAAATATAACATTTTCCGACAGACACAAAATTGGTCGGTCGACAAAAAAGAGGTCAACATCGGGCAAGACAACGGCCGATAAACAGTCGATCGTCTCTCAAAGAATCTCTCTTAAAAACTTTCCTCCGTTGGTTGTTTTTGGAAATGTTTCTGGGGCTATAGGATTTATATAAATATCGACAAATGATGGAAATCAAATTGCGGCTCAGCGAAAGATGATCAGGCGACATTTGCAGGCTTCAGAATATTTAAACTTTTAAAAGCATCAATGTTTCCAGGAACTAATTTGACTACTCTATGTTGTTCAATTCTTTTGTCAGTCAATCATGTTTTCTTTTCAGCCTATGTTTCGAGAAAAAATTGTCGCCATCGGCTTAAAAGTGGTCTAGATTAAGGACCTAGTGATTATTCTTAAACCACTATAGCTTTAAATTTATTTTTGTTACTTATTTCTTTTATATTCCCAATTTTTTATGTTGTTTCTATTGTATCGTATTTATATAATCCATTTTAGAATATCGGAAAAATTTTTAAGAAAATGAGTAAAGGAAGAAGTTTTTCAAATACTTTGTAAACTTGCTCCAAATTGTAATGTTTTTAATGGAAAATTGATTTCTGTCGATTATCTTCATGTTTATTTTTTCATTTTTTTTTAATTTTTTTTTAGATCGTAATCTTTAAATATTGATAAACTGCTATTTAAGGACAATATTACGTGTACATATACACTGTGGGTCTCCTAAGGGGAACATAAAATCTCGATTTATTTGATTGACTTGTAATAAATGAGCTATTTGCAGATGATGCATTTCTTTATTTTTCGCATTAAAGGAATACTATCTTATTGATAAGCATAAAAATTATTTCACGAATGCTGATGTGATATAAGTTAAAATGACGGTGTTTTTTCACTTTTTGTTATGATGACGGGAAATTCCATTCTATATTACATATGTAATTTTTTTTCTTGAAAAAGTCATAACGACCTAAGGATTGTCCCGATGCCATAACATTACACATGTAAACATACAAAAATCTGCACATTAAATTTCACACAAGTTGTATAGAGCAGGTGTTAGAATATTAAGATTAATGTAAAAAAAATTCATAATGGGTTAAGTTTCCATTTTTCAAGCATGTAATCAGAAATGTACAGATAGACAGAATTTTAGGCAGAGAGGCAGGACTTTTCTATGCATTTATTTTATTCTGTTGTATAACTGTTGTTTAAATACTGCACAAAGTATATCTGAATGATTTTATGCTGTCTTTGATTTGATTTTTCTCGAGCCATTTACTGATTATCATCAGTTTTGTAAAAAGGTGGTCAGTATAAGCGAGGGCATTTTTTTTTATTATGACAGAATTAATAACATAAACTGCATATTTCAATCTATCGAGATAATGTTCTGCGGTCTTATCCTCAGCAGATATGTGTTGCGTCCTTTTACCAACAGGGTAGAGCATAACAACTATAATTGTTCTGTATGTGGTAAATTCCTGTAGTTGTAATCAACATGATCAAGTAGATAACAAATATGAAATTTAATTAATAAAGTTTATTGATCTTAATGATGGTCGATTAATTGTGGTCGTTGGAATTACTTTGTCAGCAATTATAATCTCCCGTTAAATCAAAATCCGACTGTCGCCTGTCAAACTTATTGTGAGACCATTATTGTCGACGGGTTTTTCCAATAATTCTTGACCATTACAAGTAGCACACGAAGGGTGTAATTGTAAAGAAAATTGTAAATATGATAGAAGAAAGTATTAATCCATAATACTTTCCTTTATGTAAATATTCTTATTTATAAATTATTTATATATCTACAACTTCTATGTATTTTAAGTGCCCAGATTGATTAATAAAAAAAAATTGAAAACATTGGACCAGGAATATTATTTACTCCTACCTGCGCTTTCACCAGACAAAATGACAAAATTTCAAATTAAATAATTATTTTTACTAAAATGTTTTTTATGGATAGAAACAGCATTTATTTGTTATCACACGACGATTGTAAGATCGTTCTCCAAAACAGGGGAGGTTTTAAACGTACCGAAACAAAACTATTTAAGAAATAAGTACTAAGAGATATGATGGTCAAATCAGTCTTAATCATTCTTTTACACTGGAAGGTGACCTTTTGCAACATCGCTGACCAAATTTGATAAACAAAGACTTCATGTTAAGCAAAATGGCTGCAAAGGGAAACTGGTTTTTGGGTACTCTGGTCATTAAGAGTATTTGTATGACACCAAGACCTTTGCCAATGCGACTGAAGCGACAGGTGTTTATTATTACCATTTAGACACATGTTTACTAACAGAAAGATAAAATGTTTATTGATTAGCACATACAAGTAAAAAAAAAAAGTCTGGTTTACATGACCTCTCTACTGGTGCTTGCAGAAGTCCATTTTATTGCTCAGCAGAAAATTTGTGTTTTATGCAGTTTTGAAAACAATTGATCTCAATTGAATTTATATGACTGAGAATAATAAGTGTTGATTAATTATGACGCTTATTACCAGTAGAAGTCACATCTCCACAACCAGATTTAAAGTTGCATTTTTTCTTTGGACATTCACAATACCCTTCACATATTTCCCCGTAGTTTGGATATTCACACATTACTGAGCAATTTAGTCCCGTGAATCCTATCGGACATTCTGTAAACAATTTTTAAAGATCATTTTAATGCATACTTCGATAAAAACTGAGAAAAGAAATTCAAATCATATTCATATATTTCTCTAATTTGTGACGAACGGCAAATATCATCAAAGATTTGATAAATTTGATAAAATTACTGACTTGAACAATTCTGATAGATTTCATTCCAGTAGTAGTTGAGACAGCATCCATTATTCCTAAAGTGTTCAACAAACAATAAATATCATAAAACAGATACATATACATGTATACATGTAATGAATCAAAAGAAATCTATTCAATGTATGTCTATAACACACAAAAGATTTCTTTTCAGGTAGATTCGAGAAAATTATCTATCGCTACAATGTACTGTTATTTTTAAAAATTGTTGTCCATAAAGTATATTCAGAAGGAGGAAGTAGAGGAAATGTAAAAAGAGATGTTCGTCCACACTAATCAAATTTTGAAATTATAGAGTGCTAATCTATGAACAGTGCATGAATTTGAAATTATTAAAAAAACAAATGATAATGACTGTGTAAAGTAGTCTTTACTTATGAATTTACTAAGCAAAGATGTAATCATTACGTTTATTCACATTGATAATTACTATACTTGTGAACAAATGTAGTACAGAAATAAACTTTAAGTTTTCCTTTCCTCAAAAGAAATTTAACACCACCGTTGAAGATTATTTGGCTGTGTATGCAACAAGCGATATTATCCTTTTGCAAATTCTCCAATTTCATTTCAGGATACTACTATATGATACATGTATATTCACATAATGAAAAGAATTTTGCTCTCTATTCCTTAAGGCTAATGTTGACTGAACTTTTTTAAAACAAATTGTAAGATCATTGTTTCCCTACAAATTAGCTAAGGATTGAAGTTATTAAACAAGGGAACATTTTTGGGTTGACCAGTCGACAAATATTGCAAACCCATCCATTACACCCGATCTCATCGGTGAAGTTCTAAGATGTCCGTGGTTGCCTTGTTAATTACTGTATATTTAAATTAAATTCTAGAACGAATACTTTTAGTTTTCTTGAATGTAATGTATTTTAAACTAGCTTATATCAGATATACTACAGAGATGTAGCATAAAAAATATTTTTGTCTGTATATGTATTTACTATATTCTCATCTCGTTCTGTAGTAGCATCCCCCCCCCCTCTCCATAGCCAGCATATCATGCACTGAAAATGCTGAATGCATGCCGTTTTAGACCATTTTTTACGATTGAACATTGTTAAGAGAACTGTCAGAACATTTGGGTTTTTACAAACCTTTTTTGAGTTCATATGAAAAGTTCTTCAAAGAGTTATATATTTTTTTCAATATGATGCATAAAAATAATGTAATTCCAAGAAAATTTGTACTTATCTATATTACTTTAACGAATTTTCCCTGAGTTACATTCTTAAAATGGTCCTTGCATAATCGCAAGACCGTGAAGGTTTATTGTCTATTCGATTTCATTTCCATTGCTTTCTTTCATAGAGATGGGCAGTCTAAATTATTTTGTTCATACTTCAAAATTTCATTTTTGTAATTGGAAAAATAACATAAATTATATATAATTTTTTTAGATGCACCTTCCTAAACTTTTTTTTTCAATTGTTACGAGGAATAAATATAGCATTTTCGGCTATGGCAAAGAAAAAGTGCAGTTTACCTATTCCAAGTAAACCTTAACGTACGATTTTCATATTTCCTTTTTTTTTTATTCACAATAAATACTGAAAATTATTGGATATCTGAACGGTCACTAAGATAAAACTACCTTTGGGATATACATGTAAAGGTTGATTTGTGTTCACAGTGTAAATATCACTTCTGAAATAAAGGGTTTTGTTTTCGATATTATAAACTTCTTCTCGTGTATTCTTGAAAACTTTAAATCATGATTTGTACATCCACATAATCATTAATTGTTTAATATACCACATGTGATCGAATAAGTCAATGTTTTCAAAACGCTTAATTAATAAGTCAATGTTTTCAAAACGCTTAATTAATATTTATTTTGCATTTTTTTTCTCGTTTTTTTTTCTGTTACACATGTGTTAATATTTTCACTTTATCTTTAAAATATATTTATTTGCACCAACCATATAAGCGGATTTCATTAAATACACATGTATCTAAGGAAGTACATGTAGAAAATACGTCCAAAAAAGAGAACCGATTTTGAGGTCCTTAACAATGTCTTTTGAAAAAATATTGGAATATCACCAGACCTCAATCAATAAACAAGTAGAAAGACACATGTGAGGAGATCCTAGAAAAAAGAGAAAAGCGAGACAATAAAGGGCTTTAAGGCGACACAACGAAACTTGTAGATGAAAGAAAACTTATTAAACTTCAGATTATCAACTGTGCGGAGGAACAAAAAAAACAAGAACAAGGAAAGAACTGAAGTAAAAAACATAAAGAGGTAGTATTTTGTGCATGTTAATGTATAATTTTCATTTTTACCAGCTTTAAAAGCTTTCTTTGTTAAGACTTGATGTTTAAACAATCCCAAAGTAAACAAGGATATTGAATTCCATACTGAAATCGTAAATTATATAAATTATTTGTAATCAAAAAATTGTACATATAAAACACGTTCATATGTAAAAAAGAATACGTACCCATCACAGCTGGACATATTTAGAACATATGGAAAAACAACAACTAGAAGAAATATTAATGAAATCTGATAACTATCTCTACAGCTGAAAAACATATCTATATGAAGAAGAAATGTGAAATATTACATAGTACATGTATAGAGTGCAGGGGACAATGAACCAATATTCTAAATTTCAAATGTTCTACTTCCTTGTTTCCCTGACAAGGAAGTTAACACTATACTATAAATAGTGAGTTAATACTTATACTGGTTACAGGGTTATTTTTGCCCCTTGTTATTTTCGCCATTTCACGTTTGGAAACAAGTTTGCCAAGTTTTAAAATCGCCCAGCCAGAAAGATCTGCATGTTGTCTACGTATTTGGGATTTCGAACTTAATAGTAAAAACAAGTCATGTGCTTGTGTCACGCGGATTAAGAATTATTCGATGGTGAGACTCTTTGGAGAATATTTAAACAAAATTTGATGTGAGTAAATGCAAGATTGATTTTTTTTTTTAAGCAACTGCCGATGAAGCGCCTTTTTTTCATTTTACGATATTAGAAAATGGAGTGTTATGTACGGGGATTGTCCGGAAAGATCTTGAATTCAAGGCCTGCAGGTAATTTCCTCGCACGCCATGGTAGAAGCCATTGAATTTGATTATTAGAAGAAATAAATGATTATTTCCATAAAAAAATGATTGAAAAATTAAACCATATTTAGCAACGTTTTTTTAAACATCGAATGCATCTTCAGAGGTAATCTATCAGTTGTCAAAATTTATGATTCTTTTTTTAATTTTAAAGAAGAGGTATAGAGCTATGTTATCAAAGAAAAGCAATACACACTAATTACATCAATACAAGAATTTCTTTTTCTAATTCAAAGGTTATACTACTTTATCCAGATAAAATGTAATGATAAATCAATATGTTTTTTTAATAGAAAAAAATTAGTTAGAGATGTTCTCTCGATATTTTGTTCCAGAAACCATTAATGAGCACAAGCTGTAGATGTAGGAACATGAGGATTATTCCTTATTTCGGCCAGTTGAGACATGGTTCAGCTATTTCTTAGGCTCATAAATAACACATTGAGCAAGCTGTAAAACGACCTTATTGACCATCATTTCAGGTCGAATCACTAATCCGACTCATTTCTATCTGATTTCGTCTGTCGGCATGCGTCTATTGACTATAGGTAAGAGAATTCATTGATTCTTTCTAAATTTTTGGCACTGGTCCTGAACATGGCATGTGTTACTATGTAATTGCATTAGTATGATGAGCAGTGGTGCCTCTTTGAACTTTTTGAATCTCATGGCCCTAGCGTCATTGATTCTGTTGTTACATGTAAGGTGGAATTATATCGGTCCTTTTTGCAATATATATTGCATATAAGAAAAGAAACACTTTTTTCAGATGAGCGACTAGGGTAAAATTTCATTTCTGTCTCTACGGTCAAGCGAGGTAAAATAAATCAAAATTGTTATCACTAAAGTGAAGGTTTTATCACAAGAAATACATTCATAAAATTTATGAAAATCTTAAACCTTACCATTCAAAACACTCAATTGAAACTGTGCCCATGTGCCTTAAATGTGAATTTTTTTTTTGCAAACGTGGCCGAACACTAGGTCAAGATCAAAAATTGAAAAAAAGTATGAGTACACGTTGAATGATATTATCACAAAGAATACATATAAAATATATATAAAGCGTGAAAGCAAAACCATTGTTGTTAAAAAGTTATGCCCACCGTAAAACATGTATAAGTTTGGTAATTGTTTTTAAAAATAAAATAGGATCAAGATCAAGAGGCCAGACTTGTCATCAGTGAATACATCAGTGAAATATGAATGCCTTACATAATGAAGGATATGGAGATAACAAACAGTATTTAATATCAAAGTTCATAAAACAATACAAAATAGGAGAAGAGAAAACATGGACCTTTAAAACATCAGAGGTTTGATCAGGTGCCAAGGAAGAGAGAGCATCCCTTGCTAACAGGACACACGCGCCGTGTGCTCCTTCTCATGATCGGGAAATAAAAAATCCGTCGTCAAATCAGTGTATAAACTAGATACGATCTCGTTGCGAGCAACGAGAGGTCTTCCGTCCGATTCAGGAAAAAAACTTGTAAAATCGAACTAAAAAGTGATTCAAAATTTTGATCACAAGGATCGCCAACGTGAATGCGCCTTTTTTTCTCTTTTCTCCCCAACGCGCGAACCATTTAGCTATTGGGAATACTGCTTTAAATATGCTTGTGTATACTTTTGCAACAGTACACCTGTCTAAGAATCATAAAAGGCGGGCCACTATTCATAATTTCGTGTCAAACGCCACGCGTAAATATTCTCACCTTTTCTTTGTACTGATCTATTAAAGAGGTGCAATAGCTTCAATGAAATTAAATAAATAAAACATTCTTATCACCTTTATTTTATTTCGGTGTTAGGAAAGTATATTTAACACATTGTACACATTACATATCGTATCTAGCCCAGTAACACTAAAGCAGTGAAACGTAAATTAAGTTTTTTAAGATTGACACTGAATTGCAACGTACTACTACGTGAGAGTCCAAGTAGTTTTTTGCATTTCATGTATCCTTACGTCAGAATGGTTTAATCAAACGCTCAGTTGCCTCCATAAGCCCCTACTCGCGAAATGTCGGAGTTGACAGAGACAGCCGCCATCTTGGGCCCGCTTCAGATTTTCAAATATTAATATCTAGAGTTCAGATTAACCAATATTAAAACAACTTATATAGTAAGCATCAATAGAAGTGTCTCTATTAATATTCCAAAAATAAATGAAAAATATTGAAAAACAAAGAAAGTTGAAAATTTGGACTTTTTGAATTGGTTTCCGGTAGCGACAGGAAGTACTGACGACGAACGAAAAGTTGCGTCCTGGAAAGTATTGATCATCATCTATATACTCTGAAAGTTTCACATTGATATCTTTTACCGTTTTTGAGTTTAATCGTGGACAAAATGTCATTTTAAAATCAGGAAAATGGTCCAAAACTTGGCACCAGAGAGGAATTTCCAAAAACTGTCTTGGAACTTTCAAGAGTATCTTACAACACATCTTTCCTGGAAATTTCATGTAATTCTATCCAGTAGTTGTCGAGAAATCGTGTCAGAAAAATAATAATAATAATAATAATAAGAAACAGAGCAATAACTATAAGGTCTTCCGTGAAGACGGAAGACCTTAATAATGGACTAACAATAAGTATTAAAAAAAGTCAGTCAGCATTTGACTCAATGATAAATTGTACCTGATGACAAGGTCACTGTATTGACCAAAGAACTTACGAAATAATGAATTTAAACGAGACTGCTAATATTCTTGTTTCATCAACTTGTTTGCCAATAATTTACCTCGTTTTAGAAATTTTTCATACGTAGAGCATGTTCTTGCGTATCGAATCAACTGAGATATATAAATGTCGTTTGCTAGCGATGAAGGTATATTACTGCATAAGTAAGAGAAGTTGGCGATAAAAAAGTTAAAATCATCACGTTTATCATAGAGTTTGGTTAAAAATTGTTAGTTTACCATTAAAATCTTTTTCAAGTAAAATATTCAGGTATGAAACAGATGTGTCAGACTCTGTGGTATATTTCATTTCAAGCTCACCAGGATATATCGTATCGACATAGGAGTGGAAATTACCATTGTTTATTGACAATAAGTCGTCGATATATCTAAATGTTGAGTTGAAAGCCATAGCAAGTTTTTTCTTCTTCCCATGCACCGGTCACGGTAGCCTAGTGGTAGAGCGTTCGCTTCGTGATCGGGAGGCCCGGGTTCGATTCTCGTTCGCGGCGCCGCGTCATACCTAAGACGTAAACAAAGGTAGTGACTGTTCCTTCGCCAAGCGCTCGGCACTAGAAGTGAAAGTCACGGGTCTTTCGGATATGACCTTAAAAACGTAGGTCCCGTGTCACGGTAGGCGCTGGCACGATAAAGAACCCTCACTGCTCAATGGCCCTGAGTGCCGAGTATAGGTCTAAATTTGAAGCCCTTCACCGGCATACGGTGACGTCTCCATATGAGTGAAAAATTCTCAAGAGGGACGTTAAACAATATACAATCAATCAATCAATCTTCTTCCCATGCACAAAATTTTGCACAAATTCTGCTTCATATGAATATAAAAAAAGGTTTGCTATGTAAAGCTTTAATTAATCAAAAAAATTGCCAAGGCTTACTTTTTTGGCGGACAACGGACAGACAGATGGGCGAATGGGCCAAAAACTATGTACTTGATACAGGTCTGGGCGGCCTCCGTTTTTGGAGGATAGCTAGATTCAATATGGCAGCCAAATTTTTTACCATATATGGAAATCGCAATGCAATGTCGGATAGTTTATCTTCTGATTTCAGAGGATAGCACAGGTAATTTTCAAACGCCGCATGCCTACCTTTAATCAAAAAGTGCAAGCACCAGAGTACAATTAAATAAAAGATCAGACATTAAACTATCAATTGTATGTGGCGATTTGAGATTCTATGTCTAGAATTTTTACAATACGCTTTCAAAGTTGGCACTTCTTGCGCTTCATTTCTACTTAATATTTCTTGTTATTTTGTTTAATTTTTATGTTTTTTCCCTATCAGGACAAATAAAAAGGCACTTCAATGCTCAAACAATACATAAATAACATTACTTTCATATTTCTTTTAATTAAAGATTAGAGGAAAAGGAAACACAAAAGAAAACGTACTGTAAAGACAAAATACACTCTGCCTGATAATTTAAGCAAAGACAAAATAAATATTATTTAGAGAAAATAAGAAAAAAAATCCCACTTTTTAGCTGTGCAGCATCTAAACTTCCGCTAGAGTTCTTAGATGAGGCCTCGACGGGGACCATGCATTCGCAGTATATATATTTCCACGGACAACGTAAGTTTCAGTCAGATTAGTTTTGACAACGGGTAGACGCAATTGAATTTAAGTCAGTCTTAACTGATAAGGGGGACGGTCTAACCTTGCTGTAGATGGAGATTGATCCTAATTTATTTCAGGGGTCTTAATATTTCAGTTTTCTTAGATGTATACACATACAACAGTATAGAAGACTAATACAGAACGGAAAGTAGCTCCGCCCACTGTAGTCCCGTGCAGAAGAGCAAACTTCAAAGAAAAATTCCTCTACCGTCTTATTAAATGAAATGAGCCGTTCCAAGCAAAAACCCCCCTTATGTAATCTGACAGAATTTTATGTCACAATAGAAAAAAGCAACAAAAACTGCTATCAAAATCTATCGCGCACTGACTGTGTTCCAGGTGAATTCTTTGTTTTATGTCTCAGAATTTTCTCATTTGTTCTCTGTATATTTTTTTTTTCATGTCTACATGTGTATTGTATATTTCATAACATATCTGACTCTGATTGTTGTCAAACTACATGTGCATTACACATTTAACGACCTAAGAGTATTCTGATTATAAACACAAAATCTGTTAACACTTCGACTT